GTGTTTGCCACAAAGTTAAATATAAAGTTATTTACTTTCATCAATCACTATTATTAGCTCAAACAGATATTGAAATGCAAACTTGAAACAAAATGTAAGGTTGCATTTGTCACTGTTATCTTAAAGTATATCTTAAAGATATTTTAAGGTTTTGTATAATGAGTGATTCTGGTGTAAGGTTCTGTGGAGCAGCGTCCATAAAGGCCAATGGAATGTTGACTTTTTGCTCCAGAACTACAGAAAAGACGTTGACCAATTCACTGATATAAGAGGAAGTTCTCTGATTAACAAGAGAGCGAGGCAGAGCTACAAGCTCAGAATTAATGTGCTTCACAGAAGATAGAACATGTTTAAATGTGTAGATGAAAATGAATTGGAAGCTGAGAGTACAGGGACAGTATTCTACTACCATAATCATTCCACTAAAAGGTGAAGGTCCCTAAAGTAAAAGTATACGTTTAAGGAGGTTTATGGGTCTCTCCAAACTATATAACCTGGTCCATCTACTTCAATAGCCTACAGCCCCCTTCCTTTTAATAATATTCACTTTTCTTGCTTCTAGACTTTTCAGCTTCTTCCCATCACTGAAATTCTTGTGTTATTTGTTCAACTATGGGTCAGTGATGCCTCACATTGTTTGACCTGTGTGTAGCCAGACTGTCAGAGCATGCCCATCATTTATAAAATTTACTTCCAGCTTGGAGTGTACAGAAAATCTACTGTTTAAGTCTCCCGCATGTTATGTGAACCCCCAAATGTGGCCTTAATGTGGATTTTATAAGTTCGTGCTTTTGGGTTTTTCCTTGAAGGGTACAGACTAACGACACTGAACGGTGAGGAATATTCTGATTGACGTAATGGGATTGGTGCTTCAGATAGCAGTTGCTGTGGATATTGCTAGGACCCTGATTTTTTTTTAATTTCTAATTTATTTTTGTTATTTTATATATTTGATTTGCTAAAGCACCTTGTGTTAAAATGAAGACTGAATTGAAAGGCTGTTTCATCATGTTATCCCCAGGAAAATGTCCAAGAACAAGATAAGACTGTAGTTTTTTCCATTAATGAAGCTTATACAGGGTGGGGCAACATTTAGAGTCAGGCTTGATGAGTCAATAATGCTTTTATTTTTTTTTCAATTTGACAATTTTTATTTTCCTTTTTCTTCAATGCAAACTTGGGATACAGAATAAAGAGAGGGAGGGGGGGTAGGAACCTCATATATCATATTCTCGAGTAACATGCCATCCAACTTTACATGATACATTTTACATTTTTCACTGTTCCACTGGGGCATAATTATCCATTATCTACTTTCTCCTCACTCGCCTGCCCACATTCTGAGACCTGCATCTGTCTTCCTCTGTTAGTCTGCTTTGCCTTGGCTCCTCCTTAGTGTCACCCCTGCACTAGATGGATGCATTCTCTCGTTTCGTGTTACTGTTCCTAAATGGGGGGGGAGGGGGAAGAAACCAGCTGGAGCCTGGGATGGGGAGGGGGGGGGGGAAATGGATTTATCGTGCCCGTTTTCTCCTACCGGTACTTTGCTGTACATCCACTGTTTGTGGTTTAAACTTTCGATTCACCCATTTGTCCCGTGATTCCTATCTATCACCTTTCGTCCCCAAGGGGTCCCTTCCTCTGGATTTCCCTTGGTCGCATGGGGTCTCTTACTGCTGACCTTGTACCTGTGCTTGGCCTGGCTGAGGGATTTTATAGAGTCGGAGTATTCTCCTACTTCTCATGACACTAGGGTCAGACTCCATTCCTAATCTCCCCGGACCTGTTTACTTCTTCCCACCTATTTTTTGCTTCCTCAAACCTGTGTGCATTGCCTACATTTTTCCTGGCCACTAGTTCATATTGTAGGTTGATGGTGATCTGCCTTTTTAGGGCTTGTTTCGTCGGTGCGGAGTCTGTCTTCCATTCTCTGGCTATTAGCGTTAGTGCCGCTATTATGGTGTGGAAAACTATAATTGCTCACTTCCCCGGAATCTGGACATATGCATGAACAATAAGCCTGTTTCTGGGGCGAGTGTAGTACTGACATCTATCGTCTCATTTAGCACGTTTTCTACCATCCCCCAATAGGGTCGTAGTACCTCACAAGACCACCAGATGTGGTACATCGTGCCATCTGCACCCCCACATCTCCAGCACTTGGCTGATGTTCCTGGGTAAATTTTTGCCAGTCGCACCGGCACCATGTACCACCTGTAGTGTATCTTTCTCATTAACTCTAGGTGTGATGCGCATGATGTCTTTCCTTTGTGCGCTGTGGTCGCGTTTTTCCATTGAGTTGCATCAAAATGTTTCCCCAGGTCTGCCTGCCAGGCTTCACTGAATCTGTCTAAGTGTACTGGGTCGCCTAGGTTTAGTAGTGAGTAGCATTTAGATATCGTTCCCCTCTTTAGCTTAGTGTTTAGACAGAGACTTTCAAACTCCGTGAGCGAGTTTTTCCCCTCTCCTGTGGTTGCTTGTGTCCCCAGCATAGATTTTAACTGAAGGTATGGAAATATCAATTTGGGGGGGAGGTTGAATTTTTTCTGTATGTCCGGGAACGGTAGCACCTTTTGTGCCTCTAGGAGGTCCCTCACATGCGTGCAGCCTCTCTTTGTCCATTCCCTATAGTCAAATGTGTTGTTCGCTACATGAAGGCAGGGCAATGGTGTTGCCGGTGACCACGGAGTCATAGAGGTCAACGTCTGTTGTGTTTTGTCCCATGTCATCAGTAATGTCTTTGTGGTGGGTAAGATATGGGGTTGGGTGGGGCGCATTAGTTTAGGTACCCACAGCAATCTGCTGAGGTCTGTCCCTTGAAGCCAGTGGTCTTCGATTTCTAACCATTGTGGAATAGGGGCTGGTAGTTGTATCCCTATCACTGGGGCTAGTAATGTTGCCTGATAATAAAGTTTAATATTTGGTAAGGCTAGACCCCCTTGGTGAACCGGTCTGTGTAGGTATTTGGCGCTATCCTCACTCGTTTGTGTGCCCATACAAACTTTGTGAGCATTGACTGTGTTTTGTTTAAGTAGGAGGATGGAAGAGCTATTTGCAGCGTTCTAAAAAGGTACTGTAGTTTAGGGAGAATGGACATTTTAAAAGCTGCCATCCTCCCCACCCAGGAGATGTATTTGTCTTTCCAAGAGACCAAACTAGCTTCCATCTCTTTTTGTAGGGCTTCGTAATTTGCCTTGAACAGTCCCCCTATTGTCTTAGTTAACTTAATTCCGAGGAAGGAAACGCTTTCCGTCCTCCAGTCCATCACAAACTTCCCCTGCAACTCCTGTAGTGTGCTCTCAGGTATCCCAATTCCCATGGCCTGTGTTTTGGACACATTTAATTTATAGTACGAACTGTCTCCGTATTCTTTTATCGCTGTCAATAGGTGTGGCATTGATATCAGTGGTTGCGTTAAGGTCAGGAGCACGTCGTCCGCAAACATGTTGGCTTTGTATTCCTTGTCCCCTATGCGCACTCCATGTATGGAACTATGGTTCCTAATCTTTGATGCTAATGGCTCTAAAGCTAGAACATACAGCAGAGGGGACAAGGGGCATCCCTGCCTCGTGCCATTCGAGATGCTAAACGGGTTGGATAGGAAGCCCGCGTTGAGCACTTGTGCCCTCGGGGCGCTATATAACGCTTTGACTGCTGCCCTGAATTCTCCTGGCACACCAAATTTTGCCATGACCGCCTCTAGGAATTTCCAGTGCAGGCGGTCGAATGCCTTTTCGGCGTCTAGGGAGATGATAACTCCTCCCCCTTTGTATAGTCTGGGTAGGCTATGCAGTATGTTCAATACCTTGCGCGTGTTATCAGCTCCCTGTCTCCCTGACACAAATCCTACCTGGTCTGTGTGGATTATTTGGGGGAGTAGGGCGCTCAGTCTCATCACAAATAGCTTGGCGAAGATTTTCGCATCCGTATTGAGCAGGGAGATGGGCCTGAAATTTTGGGGGATGGTGGGTGACTTCCCTGGTTTTTGTAACGTAATAATATGGGCTAGTAGTGAGTCTTGCGGTAATTTCTGTGTGGCTGTCGCCTCTGTGAAAGCGTGCACTAGGTGAGGTATCAGTGTTTGACTGAATTTTTTATAGTAGGTGTTATCTAGTCCGTCTGGGCCTGGGGCTTTGCCTTTTGGTAGGTTTTTTATGACAGTCTGGATTTCGTCCCCTGTGATGGGTTTAATGAGGTCTGTCGCTTGTTGGGTCGTGAGTTTCGGGAGGTCTACTGTATCTAGGTACGCATTGATGTGTTCCTTCGTGGGCTGAAATGTGGTGTCATGCTTGTGTATGTTGTACAGGTCTGCGTAATAGCTGGCAAATTCGTTGCAAATGTCTGTAGGAATAACTTTCTTCTCACCTGTACGGGACATAAGGAAATCGATTTTTTGGTTCGCCCTACGTTCTTGTAATCTCCTTGCCAGTAGTCTACTAGCTTTGTTCCCCTGTGTGTATTGTGTCATTTTCAATCTCTGGAGCCTGTATCCTGGCTGTTCTATCGCCTTTTGGTGTAATTTGCGAGTAATATTGGATATTTGTAGTTTAAGCTCCGTATATGGGGAGATTTGGTTGCGTGTGTTTAGTTGGTACAATTCTCTCTGCCATTCAGCAGTCTGGGTTGAGGATTTTTTATGTAGGTATGCCGCCCTTCTAATAAAAATACCCCTAATTACCGATTTGTGTGCGGCCCACAGTGTGCCCTGGGACATTCCTGGGGTATCGTTCTCTCTAAAGTAATTTAACAAAGTCTCCTCTACCTCTTTCGTGAATGTCAAGTCGTTCAACAAGGAGACATTCAGCCGCCACGGGCTTCGGTGCTTATAGTCGTATTGGTCCTTCACCGACAGCGTAATCGGTGCATGGTCTGACCACGTAATCTGTCCTATGTCACAGTCTGTGATTTGGTTAAGTCCTTGTCCCTGAATGAGAAACCCGTCTATCCTTGAGTATGTATTATGTACATGGGAGAAATGTGTATACGCCCGCTCCGAGGTGTGGGATATTCTCCAGGTGTCATAGTAATGGTGGAGGGAGAGGAGTTTCTGTAGCTTTTTACACTGTCTGTGGAGTATTTTGTACCTTGGACTGTGTTTTGAAATATTCGTGTCTAGTTTTGGGTCCCAGACATGGTTAAAGTCTCCACAAATAATGGACACCCCTTCCCGTGTCGATTCTAGTTTCCGCAGTATTTGTCGTAGGAACGTGCCTTGCAGTGTATTGGGTGAGTATAGGTTAGTAATTGTATATGTCATGTTATTAATGGTGCATTTCAAAATTACGTATCTCCCATTGGTATCCGTCTCTGTGGAGAGCATGGTAAATGCCACCCGCTTAGAGATCAGTATAGACGTCCCTTTAGATTTCGTGGGGGATGTTGCGTGGTATTGGTGTGGGTAGTCAGTAGCTGTTGGCGGGATAAAATTGTCGGTTCTGTAATGAGTCTCTTGGAGACAGATGACGTCCGCATCCGTTTCCCTGAGTTCTCTATATAGTAGGTGTCTCTTAACCGGTAGGTTTAACCCTCGTACATTCAGAGAAAAAATTTTCATGGAGGTCTATACCCAACGGATTTGGTAAGGGTTGCAGAATTGTGCAAGAGTGAGTACGGGGGGTTTGCTCGCCCCAGCAGCATCGAAACGAGCGACCTTCCCCTGGTTGAGGGTTGGGTTCGGGCATATCTCCCTTGCCGAGTAAAAGGAGGTGGGGCTGTCATGGGTACCCTTGTAGGAATTAGGAGCTGGTGAGCTTGGCCAGCGGTGTGAATTCCCTGTGGGTACTGGGTAGAGGGTGTGAATCGCCTGGTCCCAGCTAGACCGGGGTGGGAAGGGGAATAAAGTGATAACTGGGAAAACATATGAAACAGGTGTATAACAGATTGGTGTGCCATTTTCGGCTTAGGTACTCTCTGTACCTGTGGAGGCGGAAGTGGTAGCTTCCTTCCTGTGGGGGGGTAGTCTCCGGTGCAACCCACTCTATAACTCACTGAGTGTTTTTTTTTTTTTTTTGTTGGCTTGTAGCCGTGTAGTAATGCCCCTGTAGGGAGCCACTAAGAATTGTGCAGCCTATACCTGTACAGACATATATTACACTGTGGCAAAACATTAGACATGGCTAATACAATACCCCTGGTTGTCTCCATGGTCTATTTATCAGGACCAGTCTCTCAATAGTCACTGTGGAAGAGCTTGCAGGGATGCTGTAGTTGCGGTGACGTCTTTCATGTCGGTCTTTTGGAGTTTCTCCAGTCTTTGGAGGATCCGCGGGGCCTCTGTGGGCTGTGTTGTTGGCTTGGCTTGGGGAGTCCCCATCTTTGGAGTAGTATTGCTCCTTCTTCTGGCGTGTTGATAGCTGACACTTTCCCTTCTCTGGACACCAGTATTTTCACTGGGTAACCCCAGCGGTATGGCAGCTTGTGGAGCCGGAGCTGTTCTGTGACACCTCTGAATTCTCTCCTGCGTTTCAACGTGAATGTCGATATGTCTGCAAATACCAGCAGCCCGTCATATGGATCTGGGAGTGTTTTCTTCTGGCGGCTTGCCTGAAGCACCAGTTCTTTCACATGGTAGTAATGCATTTTGATAAGAATGTCTCTTGGGGTGTCCCGAGGGAGAAAGCTGGGCTTAGCGGTCCGATGGAACCTGTCCATGAGCAGCATGTCATGTGGTACGTCAGGCGCTAGCATTTTTAGCAGGCTCGTCAAGTAGGCCGCCAGTTCCGTGGGTCCCACCTCCTCACTCACCCCACGTATGCGCAGGTTATTGCGGCGTGCCCTGTCTTCAATGTCCGCAAGCTTCGTCTCGTACCTCTGCATTTGGTCTTGTAGCCCTGTCAGCCCCTCCTCCATTTCTCTATGAGCCACGTGTAGCTCTGCCATTTTGGATTCTGTCCCAGCAGTTCTCACCTCCAATTC